GACTCTGAAGTCCCCGTTGGGCCCTTCACCAGCAGGCCTGGGGCTGCAGGCCTCTGTGTTCCCTTCCTCTCATCCTGGAGACAAAAGGCAAAATCCTCCAGAGAAAGTGGGATGGGAAGGCTCAGGAGAACCTCACCAAGGGCTTGCACAAAGTAGTATATATTTATAGAATTAAATAAAAACCCAAGGCAGACACTGCTCCAGGTCTGGGCCCCCAGTGCCAGGAGACCCCGGCATCCCCCGGGGGCAAGTGTACCATTAGCAGCCATCAGGCCAGCAGAGGTGGGGGTGGGGCAGGAAGGTGCCCCCCCACCACCACCCAGTGCATCTGCCTCAGTTCCCCACTCTGCCTGGGAGCCAAGAGAACAAAGGCTTCCCCCTCCTCCACCTGGAGAAAGGGGGCTCGTCCCACATGCCAGGGCCATGCGGAGGATGTGTCATGGGCCAGGGTCCCCAAGGGGACAGGGCATTAAATGGGGGCAGCAGAAGAGGACTGCAGATACTGTGTTCAGGAATATTGTAGCCCGGCCTCGCCCCACCGCCGCCCAGAGCCGAGGGGACAGCTGGCTGGTGGCCTAGCCCAGAGGAGCCACTAGGTGGCAGGAAAAGCCCAACTCAGCCAGCCCCACCTGCTTCCACCACCGGCCCCAGAGCCCTACCCGCCCGCAACCTCCCCTTCTCCTCCCTCCTCCCTCCAGCCCATCCCTCACTGCGCCTCCCGTGATGGGGCCCCTGAAGTCTTTTCTTTCTTCCTTCCGCCTTTGGGAAGGGAAAAAGCTCTCAGTCCTCCTCAAAATGTGTTAATAATGATGATAATAATTAGTGCCCGTGGCTGTTTATTGAGTGCTGAAGAGGTTCCAGGCATCTTACATGCATTATCTCACCTGCTCACACATGAGGTAAGTTTAAAAAAACTCCGTTTTTTCAAGAGGAGACAGCGAAAGCATAAATAGATTGCTATCAAACCCAGTGTCCTCGCTTGGGAGTGTTATCAAGTGGGTGTAGGCGTGGGGAGGACGGGAAGGACCCATCAGATGCATCTGAGTTTTGTCCACCATCCTTACCACCCCCTCTCCCCTCCCCCACTCCTTGAGGGTCTAGGAGGGTGTCTTAGTCTTGGGGCGAGTGTGAGGTTTGAAAAGGCTACCCAAGTGATTCAGGCTCACAAAAAACCCCACCCTGACTGAGAGCCACTGCACCCTACCCTGCTGCCTCACCTCCAGGCTCCACAAGGCATTCTGGGTTCTCCCCTTGCCAGCCTCGCTTCCCCTGTGAATTTCTATTCCAGTATGGCTGCCCCCCATTCAGGCCCAAAGGTGATTCCAGCCCAGAGGACCTTTCTCCACTGCCAGTTCCTCTTCTGGCCTGGCTGTCTTTGACCTCCTGCATGGTTTTCAGCAAACATTCATGGGGGGTATTTCTCCGTGTGCTGGCACACCACTAGGTTGAGGGGGTGGAAGACAAGCCGAAAACAAACAAGACACAGAACCCACTCGCCAAGTGCAACAAGAGTTTCACATGTCTAAAGCTGGGCCTATAGTCAGTCCACATATGGTGTCCCACTCAAAGCCCCATATCCAGAAGAAAAGGATAACTATCTCTATAGCTGTTATCTTCACAGTATCAGGGCATTGGAAAAGGTGGCAGCTGTGGGGAAGGGGCACCAGTAGATGACACCCAATGCACACTGAAACCTTTCTTCTTTGTTTTTTGGCCGCGCTGTGGAGCATGCGGAATCTTCATTCCCCGACCAGGGATCAAACCCGGGCCTCCTGCATTGGAAGCATGGAGTCTTAACCACTGGACCGCCAGGGAAGACCCGCAATGAAACTTCTTGAAATCTTCTTTAACTCTGCCAAATCTCTTACCTAAGATAGCTGTTGCCAGACTCTCCCGTCCCATTCCAAATCTTCCAAACTCCCCCCAAGCTCAGCTGTTACCTTCTCAGACTTATTTTTCTTTCCCAGGATAAACCTAGCTAGCCTCTCCTATTCTCCTGCCTATCCCATCACCCCTCATGATTTGCAGAAAAAAGGCCCAGAAACAAAGCCATGTTTCTCAGAAGGGGGAAGGGGGAAAGCCAGGGATGAGATGAGAAGGCCATGTGAAGAAGGGCACCTGAGCTGAGCTCTTGAAATGCAGGGTTTCTGTTAGGTGTGAATTCAGCAGGGGAGCAGTGGGTAGTTCAGTGCAACCTCTGGTCACTGGACAAAGCCTGCTGACTCTACCTCGGTGGCGTCTTCCAACTAAAGGGGCAGCATCTTCTCTGTCATTCTCTCTGACACCACTGGCACCAGAAGGAAGCGGTCCACATGCCCCCTCGGGAATATCTTGAGTTACAGCTATGTCACTTAGTTCATGCTCTTATTCCAGCCACGAAAAGTCCAATCCCTTAAGAAGATTCTGAAGAATCCTGACATTTAGTGGCTAAAAAAACCCACCCATACCTCCAACCGAGTTGTCCTGTGCAGAAGGTGAAGATCCAGGTTCGAGTCTGGCTGACTAGGAAAACAAGGCAGCACTCTCGGGTGGGGGCTGACCTCATCTTTCCTCCACCACCACCACCTTGGCACATCCACTCAACTGTGCCAGCCCTGGGGGCAGGGAGAGAGCTGAATAGGACACAGTTTCTGTCCCTCACAGACCAGAGGTTACAGTCGAGTAACCGGCAGACACGTGAACAGCTATTTTAACAGGGGAAGGAGCATCTGTCTGGCTGAGAGTGGCTGGTGAAAATTCCAGAGGTGACCCTGGAGGAAAATCTTGAAGGATGAGCAGTTCTGCAGGTGAAGAAGGTAGGAAGTTAGGGTCCTCCAGGCAGATGGGACAGTATGAGGGAAGGTGGAGTGGCGGGAGAAGGGATGCCATCATCTGGGGACTTCGAGTCAGGCTTTGTGACCAGCGTGCATCCTGTGTGGCAGGGGAAGGAGAAATGGCCTTGAACGTCAAGTTGAGGAGTTAAGGTTTTCTTCTCTAGGTTAAAAGTCATCAATGATTTTAAACTAAGGAAGTGACTTGAGCACATCTTTATTTTGGAAGGACTATTAGAAGGACTGGAGAGGGGAAAGAGGAAGCAGGATGGCCAGTTGGGAAGTTGCTGAAATTGTCCAGGTGAACAAGGAGAGTGCCTAAACTAGGGCATGGCAATGGAGGAGGGATGCGTGATGAGTCGCAGCTTACATGGGGATCCGTGCACAGGATAAAATTGCAGTCAAAATTCCTCTTGAGCATCTCTTGGGAAGGGGCTCCATTAGACATCAACGATAACCCAGTTAGTGCTTCTTCAGAACTGGGGTCAACTCTCGTGCCTTTGGCTGAGCACCAGAGGAACATGGTTGGTTTTCAGAATCCACACGGCACAAACAGGTGCTAGAATCCTTATGCAAAAGATGCTTGTGGGCTTCCCTGGTGGCGCAGTGGTTGAGAGTCCGCCTGCCGATGCAGGGGACGCGGGTTCGTGCTCCGGTCCGGGAAGATCCCACGTGCCGCAGAGCAGCTGGGCCCGTGAGCCATGGCTGCTGAGCCTGCGCGTCCGGAGCCTGTGCTCCGCAATGGGAGAGGCCACGGCAGTGAGAGGCCCGCGTACCACAAAAAAAAAAAGAAAAAAAAGATGCTTGCACTCTAAGAGACTGGAAGGGAACCAAGACAGAAAATTCACTTTTCCCATCTCACCCTCAATCGGGAGACACAGATGAAATGGAGGAGGGAATCTCCTGCACAGTTATGATGCCACGTGCTTATAATTGAATTCAAGTTAGATACATGCATGATAAGACACCACTGAGAGGTGAGATGGAATGAAAAGTGGCAGCTGAAAGTAGACATAGGAGAGGAAGGAGGTAGTTTCAGGTTTTGGGGGTGAAGAGTGTGGGAGGGGACCTTTTTACTTATTTTGGGCTCCCTGTTTCCAAAAGAATGCCTTTACTTCTGTGCGCTTTTTCATGCAAGCCAGAGGGGACTAGTACCTCTTTCCTAACAAACCTAACACATCATCACTAATGTGAATGATGCTGATTTGAAATGATGAAAACCTATGTCTCTACTTTCAAGAAATGCCTACCACTAACACTCACTCTTGACTGTTGGTGTCGGCAAGGATTCTTTATGATCAACAAGCTGTGTCCAAACAGGGGACATCAGAGCATTTGAATTGCTGATTCCGAGTTAAGCATTTTCCTTTATGTTCTTCACACTTCATGGCTTGGAGCATTTTTTCTTCCAAAAGGGAAGAGAACTTTAATCAGGGGTTCATGCCTTCACCGAATGGCTATCAGAATTGATAAGACACTGTTTCATCCTCACGTGGACCTGTGACTTGGGAATGAGCTGAATAGGGCAAGTGGGGATCCCGAGACTCCCTCCTGGGGCACTTCTAATCAGTCCTAAGAAAATGCAACTGCTGAGAACTAGGGTTTCATCTCATTCAGCATGCTTTCTACTCTGAGGATGCAGAAAATTCTCCAAAATGTGTCCAGGTGGTACTTTGGCCCTCTAAGTGGGGAACGTGGAGAGGGACTGGGTGGAAAGTGAAGAGGGAAGATTCGGGCAGCTCCAAGTACACACAATCAGAGAAACATTTCTGGTCCTTTCCTCTCCAAAGAGGACAGCTCAGGAGGGAATGGGCTAGAAAGGCAGGAGGGACACAGGTCAAACTTATGAAAAACCTTGACTGCCAGCCTAGGTATATACTAGGAATGACTACTATGGTAAAATAGGAACTCTCCCAAAGCAGAGCAAAAAGGCTCCAGAAAGCTCTCTGGAATGCTCCTGCATTTCCTGGGGAAGGAGAAAGCAGCTCTGAGCAATGGCCACCAGCCTCAGGAATTTTTCAACATCTCTAATTCTGACAAGACCAGTTCTGGATATGCTCTGCTTAGCTGACATCACAGGGATTCTCCAGTTGCCAGGGGTGGGTCATCTGACCCTAAGTGGGTGGTGATGGTGCGAGGAGTCATACGAGATGAGAGAGGGAATGAAAAACAATAACCCAAATAACATGAAAGAATTTCTAAACATTTTTATTTCAAATCTCTTTTCACCCCTTCCGCAAAAAGACATTGGTCAGTACAGCAATCATAAAAAGGAGATACAAACACAAGAGTCAAATGTCTCCCGCACTGACACTTACAAAAAACCGGGAATTATACATGGGGTTTCCAAACAGGACCTGCAGCAGCTACTAATGTCCCTTTACAAGAGTCAAACATGCCTATGAATACAGTATATACAGACACCCCAATCTGGAACTAATCTACAGGGACATCCCAACACCCTCCCATCTATCCCCAGAAAAATACCAAAACACACCCAAAGTGCATTTGTTTTGTTTATATCAAAACATCTTTCCCTTTCCCCAACCCACCCTCAGACCCTCCCACCCCATTTAAGATTGGCCTGCAAGTCTATTTTAACCATTTAGTAATTTTTTATAGTTTATGAAAATAAATTATACAGCAACTATTTTAATAAATTAAGCACAAAAAGGTAGAGGAAAGGAGAAAAACTAAATGGGAAGACAAAAGCCAGGCCACGCTTTGGCTGGGAGGAGGGTGGCGCGGCTGAAGAGGACAGAAGTGGTTGCAGGGGCGATGTGGTCCCCCTTCTGGCGAAGAACTGGCAACCACCCCGAGCCCAGAACGACACCCCTCTTCACTGAGTTTCTTAAAAACCACCGAAAACTGTACAGCAGTGGCTGTGGCACGGGCAGCACCAGTTTGGGCCTTCCAACAAGCAGCCTGCCCACGGAGCGGTGCCTGGATTATGCTTCTTGGAAAAGGTTCTGGGCCTAACAGAGGGGCAGGTCCCTGTTCAAGCGAGCACCAGAGATGGAGTAGCCAGACCAGCCTTCCTGCTCCGCCTGAGCTGGGTAGGGGGCTTAGGGCGAAGCTCGGAGCGGGGCTGTGCGGGTTTTTGATCTCCTGGGTTCTGATCAAGAGTGTCCTAAGTTCACCTTACACTCCATCTCCAGGAGCAACTAGATCGCAGTCCAGCTGCGAGCAGACATTCAGGTCTTCCGCTGCCATGACTGGCTGCCTTTTGCCTGCCCCTCTCAGCATTTTGGAAGAGGGAGTGGGAGGGGGAGGGAGCAATTCCAGGTACCCTCTAAGGAGATGAAATGGGCGTGAAGGCATGTCACAGACTCAGCATGCAAGACTGGCTTCCTGGGAGGTGGATGCAAGTGGAAAGGAATGAGGGAAGGGGCAGAGAGGACAGGATGGGAAACAGGAAGAAACTGGGGGCACCTACCAGGAAGGTCAAGAAGCATGAAAAGGACAAAGACAATATGGAATCTGTATGTAAAGAAAGGTCTTTCCCTGGCAGATTAGAGAAATCAATGATTTAAATACAATTCCTTACTCTATTTTTATATCTGCAGCATCTGAGTCCCCAGTGCCTCTGTCTCTATGCTCCAACCCCCATCTCACACCTCCCAAGGCTTCGCTATCTTTTCAAGGCCTCCTGTCGTTTTTGTGCTGAGCATGAAGACTCCAATGTCAAAAGAGGATAGATCACGGGGACTGGCAGACTTGACTTTGCTTTCTTGAGCTTTGTGGCCCAATAATCCTATAGCTATCATGGGGGGAAGGGGTCACGATTTTCTTTCTTTCTTTTTTTTTTTTTTTCTTTTTTAATAAAAAAGGTTTTACTCCCCAGGAGCAAATAAATCATTTTGAACTACTGATAAACACTGCTGCAGTGAAAAGAAAGATGGCTACATGTATGCAATAGCACAAATTCAGTGTAAGAACAGCTGTGTTAACAATTAGAGATAAAAATCATTTATCCATTTCCCCCTTTCCCATGAACCAAACCAAGAGGATTCCCATAGGGAAAATGTCTAACTCAAAAGCTCCTCCCTTAGGGACAGGGGGCACGTCATTCTCTTAAAAGTGGACAACATATGGCAGGTCTCCCCCCAGTGGAGATGCTCTCAACACCCCCACTGGTGGCAAAACTTCTGCAAATGAAAACACACACACACACACACACACACACACACAATGACTTTCAGACCTCCTTCCAGCAGCCACAGAGCTATATATGCCAATGCCTAGGCCTCCAACTTCAGGGCTCAAAGCCAAGGGAGAGGCAGGAGGTCAGGGGGGAATCTAACCTAGAGGACAAGTTTCTCCTAACCCCATTTCCTGCCAGGGCCAAGGGCTTCAAGCAGGCTGTGCTCTTCCAGTCTTCCAGGGCCCGGGGTGAGGGCTGAAAAGGCTGGCACCCAGGGCATCCGGCTTTACTCCAGTCTCTCACCCCAGATCTGAGAACACTAACCACCCTGTCACTTGCCAGCGCTTCCTGGATGTGCACTGTAGCGGGGGTTGCCGCTATCTCCACATCTCTCCCAGCCTTAATAAGGGGACTGTGTAATCAGCTCCCGTGACAGGTAGGAAAGGAGGAGGAGAAACCATGGCAGCAAGCTCCCCACCACACCTCCCCCCTCAGGAACCTGGGTGCTGCCGCCCAGGGCTGGCCTTCCAGGGTGTCACACTCACTGCACCCAGGCACAGGCAGGCAACCAGGCCAAGGTCATCGCCAACTGTCCCAAACTCCTAGTTTGTCACCCATTTATCTAGTCCCCGCAGCAGAGCCCCCACCGCCTTGCGCCCTGCAACCGCAGCACACGAATTTCAAGTAATAGCAAGTTGTAGCAGTAGCTGTCACTAACTCACAGTGGTTCACGCCTGTCCTGAGGAAGGTTACAGTAGACCAGTCATAAACAAGCGAGGGTTACACAGGCAGGGCCTGAGGGTATTGACATCACCCATCCACAACTTAGAAACCAATGACGGGTCCCTAGAAGTGAGAACCTTTTCCAGTTTGTGACTTGAAAATACTATGACCAAAAAGCAGAGTTCCCTCTGCAGACTGCATTTCAATTAGCACTACACAGAATCGGCAGGGGGGCAGGGGCCGCAGGCAGGAGAGGTGAAGGGGAGCTGCTGATGAAGGCCAGCTGCCCCTGTCCCTCCCTGTTTACTCTGACCAGGCTGGTGCCCTTCCTCCTCACCTCCTGATGAAGCCTGTTTCCTCCTGCACAACTCTGTCTTATAGCCCTCTCTACTAAGGAAGGACCAGGCTACGGCCTGGGCCGTGACTAATGCACAGACAGATCACGGACACAGTAAACACTACCCTTCCCGGGAGCAGAAAGGATGGTGGTGAGGGTGGGTCACGCCTCCTCAGCTGGTTTGGTTTTGTACCTGAGAGTATGGATTCTCCACTGGAAACCCCTGGTACCACAAGGGGTCCAGGGGCTCTGCCTTCCTCACCCAGGCTGTGCTGAGAGCAGTGAGGTCCTTGGCCACAGGCAAGAACCTGGCTGACTTCTGGCTTTGGGCTCCACCTCGCCATCATAACCCCTCAGCATTCAGACCTGCCTGATGACTAGGAAGTTTCGGTCTAGACCACAGCACAGAAAAAGGATTCTTTGATGCCACTGCTCTACCTTGGGACTGTGCACTGTTCCGTACACACCCTGCAGATTTCTGCTTCTGTGCTCCTGTTCTTGTGTTTCTCATCTCACTGCCCTGCCCTCACCTAAAAACCAAAGTCTCACAGCACCAGAGCTCTCCTAGACCATCTGATCTACACTGATCTTACCCACTCTGAATTTCTTTAAAGACAGCCCTTGATTCTCTCTGCCATGCTGAGTCATTCTCCAAATGCTTCACGTGTGGCAGCCACCTAAAAGCTCCCTTAGGCCAGAGAATATGTCTCCTGCCTCCTGTGTTTTCCACAGTAGCTAGCCCAGAATCAGGCAAATGAACACTAAAAAGTAGTTAAAAAAAAAAAAAAGAGAGACCCCACGTAGCCGCACAACAGCCACTCGAGGATCTCAGTGGATTCCAGACAGCAGGCTTTACAGCTGGGTGGCACTGTCTGCAAGATGGCAAGTTAATTTGTACCTTCAAGAGGCAAGACCCGTAGGTTAAGCCAATTCCCGGGATCACAACCTTAACTGGTTGGTGATACTACCACGGCAGCCAGAGAGAGAAGAGGTACTACACGACAAATCAAAGGTGGGTGGGCCGTGTTTATGCTACAAAGCTCATTTTGTGGGCCACCTCTTCACAGCCAGGTAACAATGCAAGTTTCCTCCCTATTCAGCTATAAGGAGGAAGAATGGTCATTCCATGCAGGACGTAAGGCAGAAGGCCAGTGCTCCCAGATGAGGCAGTCCTATAAATTACAAGACACTGGGGCCTCACCCCAAATGATCAGGAAACCACAAACCTGACAATATTATTTATCTCATGCGATGAGGCAGATATAAGCACAGGGGAACCAAAAGAGGAAGTCTGTTGAAATACTTACTGCAAAAGAGTAATAAAGATCAAACAGCTCAATTTTCACATCTTAATAGCAAACCTCTCCTCAGAGTAACTCTACAGAGAAGCAAACTCACAATGTTATATGATTTGACAATGGCCAAGTTCAGAAAAGCACTGGAGTTTTTCTCCCTCTTCCTCCACTTCCATCTGGAAAACAGGCAACTCTCAAATCAGTATCTGACAGACTTCCCAGTGGAAGGAGGGCAAACAGGATCTAACTCAGGAAAACGTTTGGGTCGCCAGAAAGAACTCAGGAAAATAAAGAAGCCCTTGCTACCTCCTGCTCCAACAAACCTAAGAACATGAGCTGTAATGCTCTCCTCCCTCCTCATTGATCTCAGATGGGCCATTAAGGCTGAGACACTAGGGAGCTTTCTCTAGGAAGAGCACAATAGCTTCGTTTCTCACCTTCCTCCACATTCCCTCTCACTAGCTGACAGACATGTGGAGGTAAGGAACACTGACTAAGTCATGGGTATGGTTTGCCATTAAGAATCTGGAAGCACGCTCCATTAACTTCAGCAGCCGGGATTGGAGCTCTGAACTGTTCCGGTGATGAGAAAAACTATTGCCTCGACAGCCGGCGGAAGCAATAGGAATGATGCTACCATGACCAGAGTGAAAGGTACAGTTATCTCGAGGGAATGGGTTGAGGGCAGAGGAAGAACAGGGCGAACTTGAGGTCACAGAACTTAGGAATTCAGTAAAACAAAACGAACACAGCTGCTATGAGAGGTGATTCTGAAATCAGGTTCCTAAACCTTAAAAGCAAAGTATGCGAGGAGTCACTGCTTCCCCCGGCAGAGTTATGTGCCAGTTCTGTCCAGTCATCATCTATTCGAGACTAACCACCCTCCTCTCTTCCCTGCTCCTGCTGAAGCTACCCATACGCCTACAGAGAAGCAGATTCTCGGCCCTCAGAAACTCCCGACTTGATTTGCACTTCTGACTCCTTCTTTTCCCTTCCTCAAGGTCAATGGTGGAGACTCGAATTCTGCCTTTGGCGCCACCTGAATGACCCTCACTGGCAACCCCCTCTCCTCCCCTCCTCTCCTTTGGATCTGCTCACCCTTGGCACCACTTCCAATCCAATGCACACAGACCCCAGCTGCCTTTAGGGTGAGTTTTCCATACTGAGAAATGCAAATATCCAGAACAAAACTTCTGAAAAAGGAACAGTGTTGAGACTTCTTCCAGTTTTCCAAGGAGTTCATCCAGCTCCAGTAGCACAGGGCTGGATGTGACAAGGTGGAGCCCCACTCAGAGAGTCTGGTCGTGGGCTTCATCCAAGCCCCAGGGCAGCGAGGGGAACCGAAGTCTTTGCACAGAGGATCCCAACCCTTCTTACTCCTCTTGTTTCCTTCACTCCCGTTTTCATGGTAGCTTCATTTGGTTCTTCGAAACTGGAGCTTGGCAACCAAATGCCTAGGTAAAAAAGGGGAATAATTAGAGTGGCTCAATAGAGTGGAACCAAAATGGAGTGAAAGAACAGCCTCTGGAGGTGGAGAAGCACAGCTCAAAGGGAGGATGGGGCCTGGAGAGCCAAGTGCTTCCACAAACACTGCAGCCGGCTGGGGATGCAGCAGTGGCCTTTGTCACAGGGACCTGAGCAGCCTACAACCTGGTCGCCGAAAAAAGGTCCTAAAATGACTAATAAAGATGTCCTACACACTGCCTCCCTTCTCTCTTTCCCATTCCCCTTCATTTTCCACACACTTTCCCTAAGGCCCATCTGCTCTAGGCACTGAATAAAGAACTGAGTCCCTGGAGTAACCCCTGGTGAGCCAAGCTAGAAATAGCTGTAGGCCCTGTGGCTTCTGGCTGTTGAAGAGGGCTGACATATAATCACAAAGGCCAGTGCAGCTTCTACCTTCTGATTTAAGAAGGGCACTGTTCCAGCTGTTACCCTGTGCCCTAACTCCAAGTACCCTGGCAAAAAATTCTCCAGGTAAGAGCACACACAGACCAAGTGGCCCACTTGGAACTCTGAAATTAAAACCAGCCTGACCAACAAGAAATCATAACAGCCGAATTTCACACCTGAAAGTCCTTTCCCTTGGGAAGTGTTACTTCCCTTTTTCAAAGGGTCCTAGGAGCAAGTACAGCATGATGCTTATTCTTTGCTACAAGCAACAATCCCAGTGTCACAACAAAAAGAGGCCCCGGGAGTTCAGTGTAATCCTTTGCCAATACGTGACTGCCCCCCACACTCGTGGCAAATGGTTAGCCCCAGCCTATACCTGATCATATCAGGGCCTTTGTACTTATAGGATCCCCTGCCTAGAATGCCTGCTTCCAAGATCCTCTCATGGTTAACTCTTTGATATTCAAATCTCAGCTGAAATGTCACGTCCTCACAGGAGCCTTCCCTGATCATTCAAACTTGAGTTGTATGCTACCATTAACCACTAAACTTCACCCAGTTTTATTTTCTTCATAACATGTACAGTCAACTGAAATTAACCTATTCACTTACTTACATGTGGCTGTCTGTCTCTCCCTACAAGAACTGCAGCTCTGTGAGAACAGGGCCTTTGACTATCTTGCTCAGCACCCTCTTCCCAGTTCACACTGGCTACTTTATAGATGTCTGCTGAATGACTAAACAAGTGATGGGGAACTCACTAACTCCTGTGGAAAACCATTCCATATTTGCACCTGTTAAAAAGCTTCTTCTAAAGTCGGAATGAAATCTGTTTAAAACTTGTACTGTGGTCCTTCTCCTGCCCCCTGGAACCACACAGAATAAGTTTAATCACTCTTCCTTAGGAAAATCCATCAAATCCTTCTTTTGGTCACCAAGCCCCTCGTACCCTAAAACTTCTCTGGTCCATGATAATCATTTATTCCCCACACGATGAAGTGTGGAGCCCCCCACCATCCTGAATCTTTCTCTGAATGTGCCTGTGCTCGTGGGGGCCCCTCCTAAGGCACAGCACCCATAGAAATGGTGCTCTAACTGAAGGGTCCCAATTACTCCTCGACAGCGCAGTTGCGTAGGTGGGCCCCCCTAGTTCCCCACCCTAATCAATGCAAAGCCACCAAGCAGAGAAACCCTCCTAGACATTAGAGCACTAAGATGTTTTAGGAGACACTTCCAAGGGCATACAGCTCGCGGATACAGTCACACCTCGTTTAACTTGTTTTGCTTCACTGCACTTCACAGATACTGCATTTTTACAAATTGAAGGTTTGTGGCAATCCCACATCATCAGATGATGGTTAGCATTTTTTAGCAATATTTTAAAATTCAGTTATGTAGATTTTTTTAGACATAATGCTAGTGCACACTTAACAGACTACAGTATAGTATAGATAAAACTTTTATATGCTCTGGGAAACCAAAAAAATCATGTGACTTGCTTTATTGCGATATTTGCTCTCTTGCAGTGGTCTGGAAATGAACCCAAGGTATCTCCAAGGTATGCCTGTAACTGAAGACATGACAAAGAAACTGTACATCCAGCCCAGGATCCTTTAAGTTAAAACTCCCGCAGCCGCCTGGAGATACCATTTCTTGATCTTCTTCATTCCTTCTCTCCTTGCTAAACCTGGCTCACATGCTCTCCCCCGCAGTAGCACAGGATCAGGGACCACCAGAGCCAAGAGGAGACACACAGCTGGGTTCACCTGAGCCACAAAAAAACCCATAGGACAAAAACACCAGTTGTCATTTTCTCCCATTAAGAAGAGAGCTGAGAGGGTGGGGAGAATTAAAGCCCACTTTTCACTCTAAGGCTGTCACTCCTGTGGGTTATTCCCCTTAGTTTGTTTTGTATGGGGGATGGGAATGGGAACAGAGGAGGTTAGAAGAGAAGCAGAAGAATTCAGTGCTTAAAAAGGACACTCAGGGGTTTCCCTGGTGGCACAGTGGTGAAGAATCTGCCTGCCAATGCAGGGGACACGGGTTCAAGCGCTGGTCTGGGAAGATCCCACATGACGCGGAGCAACTAAGCCCATGTACCACAACTACTGAGCCTGTGCTCTAGAGTCCATGAGCCACAACTACTGAGCCTGCATGCTGCAGCTAATAAAGCCCGCGTGCCTAGAGCCCGTGCTCCGCAACAAGAGAAACCACAACAATGAGAAGGCCGCGCACCGCAAAGAAGAGCAGCCCCCGCTCGCCGCAACTAGAGAAAGCCTGCACACAACAGCAAAGACCCAACGCAGCCAAAAATAAATAAAATTTTTTTTTTTTAAAAAAAGGACAGGGCTTCCCTGGTGGCGCAGTGGTTGAGAGTCCGCCTGCCGATGCAGGGGACACGGGTTCGTGCCCCGGTCCGGGAAGATCCCACATGCTGCGGAGCGGCTGGGCCTGTGAGCCATGGCCGCTGAGCCTGTGCGTCCAGAGCCTGTGCTCCACAACGGGAGAGGCCACAACAGTGAGAGGCCCACGTACCGCAACAAAAAAAAAAAAAAAAACAGCAGGTACATTCGGGACTTCCCTGGTGGTCCAGTGGTTAAGAATTTACCTTCCAATGCAGGGGACACGGGTTCAATCCCTGGTCGGGGAACTAAGATCCCACATGCTGCGGGGAAACTAAGCCTGTGCACTACAGCTAGAGAGCCGGCGTGCTGCAATTAGAGAGAAGCCCATGCACCACAACTAGAGAGAAGCCCGAGTGCCGCAACGAAAGATCTCGCTTGCCACAACTAAGACCTAACACAGCCAAATTAATTAATTATTATTATTTTTTTTAAAAAAAGGACACTCCCAGTAAAAGGGGTTGGGGGTGGTCTCCGCATCCCAGCAGTAGATCACTAGAATGTGAGATCTTGCACATAACCCACACTACCAAAATCACCATTCTCTAGCAATTTTATTCCCTACTCCCCTCTACCTTTCAATGTTCACATTAGTGCAATTTAAGAAGACTTTTTTTTTTTGGCCGAGCCCTGAGGCATGTGGGATCTTAGTTCCCTGACCAGAGATAGAACCCACGCCCTTGGCACTGAAAGCGTGGAGTCCTAACCACTGGACCGCCAGGGAATTCCCAAGAAGACTAATTAAAATTCACATGTGCAAACCAGTATTCCAAGATATTTTATGGGAAAATAAATGAATACTCAGTGTAGCAATGGGAGAAGAGCCTCTTAGATAAATGAATTCCTTAGTTAATTCATTTATTCTTTTCAACAATTTACTTTTCAGTGGCCTAGATGGAATTCTAAATAGAAGAGCAAGCTGTTTTTTCCTCATCCCCATATTCCAAGCCGTGGGACAGAGTGGAACTCTCAGTGAAGTGCATGCCTATTACAATTAAGGGCATTTTGCGTTCCCTTTGATGAAGTTTTCTTCCCCTTTGCTTTCCTGCTTTATATGTCATTTGTGCGATATCAGGGCGATCAGCCAAAGTAGGAGAGAAGGCTGCACACTTAGCTGCACTTGTGTGTTTTCTTTATACATATTCAGTGATTAACTCGCTTGTTGCTTGGCAAATACTCTTTAAGCCTCTTGTGTCTATCTGCTCTTCTCCCAATTGGGGTATGTGCCTCCCTGGGACTCCATGATCAAATGTGGCGACTCTCTGGACAGATGCCTGGATCAGGGTATACGCATGGGGTGAGAGGAAGAGGGACGAAGCCCAGTGCATGATAACCGCTCAGGCGGAGACTAGGTTGGACAGTGAGGCAGAGTGGAGGCATACCCTTGGTGGTGACCAGCAGGGGGCCCCTCGCTACGTGGAGGGTTCCAACACCTCTTGCTTCTGTTTGGAAATGAGCTGCGCTTCCTTTAGAGACAGGTATACCTCTTCCTGAGGATCATAGTAGTAGAACTTTCGGATATAAGAGATCAGAGGCCTACGAATAACACAAGAGGGATACACACAAATGTTATACATAGCTTATAAAAGAAATACCACCTTTATTCAACCCTCCCTTCTTTTCAATCCCTGTATGGTTGAGACAACACCAAAGACTCTTTGTTGCCCTGACAAAATTCCCACTTTCTCACTTATTATAGTTCTGTCTCCCTCCCTCTTACCACCTCCACTCTACCCTTCACAGAGTCTGCAGAAGGGAAGCCAACACACACACACACCTGCCTCCTTCCTGGCTGTAATGTGACATTTCTAAGTTAGGTGCTAAGACATAGGAGAAGTGAAAGGACAACGCCTGTGAGTTGCCAGGCTCTGCCTGTACACTCAGCTTGCAGGCCTCACGAACACTGCAACTAACCCTCCATTCCTGCCCCACCTCTAAAGACCCCATTGTACTTAGGCAGTGGGAGATCCGGGATGTGATCTATCCGGACGAGCTGTCGGATTCGGAATCGGCAAAGGTGCTGGAGGGATTTGACATTGCTGAATCGGGACACTGGATAGAGCAGCTGGACTGGAGTTGGTGGCAGTCCTTCAAGAACGAAAACCAAGAGAAATATTCAGATGACACTATACAGCTAACTATAATTTTCCTTATGAAGAGAATCCAGGGAAGGGAAATGGGGCTTCTTTACAGTTCATCTATGTGTTCTGTACAAAAGCTCCCCTCCACAAAGGACTGCTGATTTCCATACCACCACTACCATACTTCATACTCAAGGGAATCTATGCTCCCCTGTGGCAGGCCTCCCCAGCCTCACTCTTAACAGCTAAGAGTCTTGCTCTTCAGAACAGCTCAATGAAAAAATGCCGAGCTACAGACTTTGCTCGGAGCCAAGTGGCCAATCCCAGGCCCAAGGCTCTCAGTGCAGGGCAAGAATCAAAGGTATCCCTATTGGGAATGGGAGACACTTGTTTAGTATCTAGAGTACCCTGAAGGTGAGGACTCAGAAAGGCTGTTCAGAGGGGTCCCCACCAAATTCCACCTGAGAGGCTGGTAAGCAGAAGGCAACAGCTAGGATCAAATTTTATAAGCCTGTCACTCCTGCCATTTACTTCAAGCCGAGACAGTCAGGTTTAGCTACCTCTTACTCCCCACCAACCCTCCACCCCCACCAACCACCCTCCTTGCTTCTGAAATTTTAGGTTGGGTACAGGAACAGAAAAAAAGAGGATGATGCTTTTAAAAGAAAAGCAACTACAGTAGCTTGGGCAAGCTGGAATTGGTACTACTGTGCACACAAGTGCCTGCTGACTAATGCCAGCCACGGCTGATGGGAGCCCCACACTCTTATGTTTCATCGCAATATCAGCAGACTCTGTGCTGGGAAATTCCAACCCCCTCAGGGGTCAACACCACAGAATGGAGACACCCAGAATGGCAGGGACACTGAAACAGATTCAGGGGAACAAAGAATACCCTGGTTTCAATAAACAAAGGGGCTATGGAAAGTAAACAAGAAAAGTGCTCTCAGACAGAATCTGAGTTGCAAAACCTTTGAAAGAATTCTTTTCTCAGCCATTGCCATATCAAAAGAAATTCTGTAGACAACTTGTTGGGAAATAAAATATCTAGTATTTTTGGAGTTTAATTTCAACCAGTTTTTAAATTTTGTTTGAACGCATGAGAAGAAAAAATTAAAGCTTGTAGATTGCCTCCCAAAGCCCTTTCATGGTCGTTAACAACTGACTTTCTAAAAAAAATTGAAATACATGTTATGCTAAACAAGTAAGCTTATCTTAAAATCATTTAACTCATTCAGTCTTCAAAGCCGTATTCAGACAGATAGCACTATTACCCCCATTTTACAATGAAGAAACTGAGGCCTATTGAGCTGAGAGAATGTGCTCACAGCTCAGAACCAACAAAGCTGGCCTTCCTTGAACACCTGCTCTGTCTGAGGAAGAGTTTAGCCCAGGGAACCTCAAAGGAGGGTCCTCCAGGAGTCTCCTCAGAGTGCCTGCCCCTGTGACTGTCTGACAGGGGGGCTGTCCAGATAGTCACAGCTCCTTGATTCAGGACCAGTCTCTCTTGACTTCTCACCTCCATCCCTTCAAATCTAAGGCTTATATTTTGAAGCACTGTAGCCCTCCTCCACCCACACACACCATTAAAAACAAAAATTCACACATGGATTTTTCTCTTGAATATATTTAAACTCAAGTGGTTTTAAAATGATTGGGGTTCAAATTCCTCTTTGAATTTTACCCTTTCTGTCATGTTTTAAAAATAGTCTTTAGTAAATTAAACTATGACAAACAGAAAGCTTCCTGGGGGGTTGGTTGTAATATTGCTAAACTCAACATGACGTTTCAGAGATAAAAGTAATTTATGCACCTAATTATTTATTCCCAAAGAAGGACTATAGGACTTGTGCTTAAAGAGGTCAGGATAATAAGTAGCATACAATTATCTGACTGTTTGCCTACTTGAATTTTAATGACCATATATACTTGCCTATTTAATTGTGTTACTTTTAGCCTTAAGTTCACAAATAGCAATTTGAAACCTGTTAATTCTCTGATATTCCCTGGTTTTGCCCGCAAACACAGAAAATGATTGAAGCTCTCACATCCAGAGCTTGTTAACAGATGAGGTCAGAAATGGAAATAAATCCAACATAAGACACCAGTGCAGCGAAAGTGAAAGACAAGGTAGAAGAGTGATCATCAAGAACTTTCCTCTGGTCCTCACGCCAGGGTCCTGGGCGCAAATCCAGTTTCCAGCCCCTTGGCTATTTTCTCTTTCCCCAAAAAGGAGCAGGTTAGGAGTGACAAACGTCTTTCAGGTCTGAGCACCCAAACACCCAGGTCTTCCTCCCACAACAAACTGTTCCCTGAAGGCCAGAATTATCCAGCCCCAAACTTGTCAATAGGGCCAAATTGAGAAATTCTAGGATACAAGGAAGACATAGCCCTAAACAAGTAATCATGGCCTAAATGATGGTTACAAAAGAGGAAGCGACCAATTTCCTTAGAGTTATCCAATTCAAAGTGTGATTAAAAAAAAACAAAAAGTGTTTTCTCTTCAGGCACTTCACAGATGATGGAGATTCTCCCAACTAAGAAGGACACATTCACTTTGAGTTCTGGCTCTCACAGCAACAGAAGTTTTGTGCTAATCCGATCACATTCTCTTCCTGAGATTGCTGCTTGGTGTTAGGGGTTTAGTTTACAACTGTGAAATGGACCAGACTGAGGTGTAATCAGCAACCTCAGATTTACCATGACCATGCTCCAACACTGCCATGAGAAGAGATAAGGGGCAAACCAAGCTCAAGTGCCATCATTTTTACCACCGATTCCTCCCCCAGATGCGAACTATTCCACTTATTAAATTCCTTCTGCTCCTTACTTGCCACCATCCAGAACTTTCCCATTAGTCCCAGCTTTAAAATTCCCATAAGCCCTGGCATCCTTTTACACCAGTCTGGATGTGCTGTGACTGCATCCAGCTCTAGATCTGAGCCAGAAAAACCTGACGTTGCATCCTGACTCTGCAACTCACTGCACATCAGTTTCTTAATCTGTATTTTAAAAAAGAAAAAAAAAAGGGAGACTGTAACATCCCTTCAAGGGATTTTGTAAGGGTTAAATGAAATAATACTAGCCCCTTGTAGGCATTCAGTTATCATCATCCCAAAGTCTAAACAAAAGGGCTCCTTTTAGAATGCACCGTGTTATAATCCCTGGTGCAGGCTGACAGAGCTCAACCTACATTCTAATGACTACCACTTCCTCACGGGAATCCTCCCCCCTAATAAAGTCAGCCTCACAGAATGCCTAGACCTCTGTGATAAGCAAAGGAAGGCAGCAAACAATGGTAAAGGAGAACACTGGCCTTGCCTTCTTTGTCCCAATCCTTCAAAGAGAGGTCACTTACAGTCTAGGGGTAAATACTAATTCGCTTTGCCTTGTCAACTTGGTTACCATTTTAAGTGCAAATGGATATCCTACCTGTAGCATTCCTCACAGGTCCTAGAAAGACAGTCTCCACTAATAAACACAATTCTGACTTCTTCATGTCCTCTCCACAAATCCCAGCAAACTCAACCTGCAATTGGCTTACTGCTATTTTCTTCCCATAACAGAGGGTGGGAAATAAAGCACAAGATTTGGAGTTAGTTCGGCCTCAGTTTGAATCCTGGCTTCAGCACTGAGTAACCTTTAGAGTAAGTGGCTTCACTTTTTTTCTTCTAAGAAAGTCTTTATTCCTCCTTTATTTTTAGAAGATAATTTCGCTTGATACAAAATTCTAGGCGAGTGGTTTTTTGTTTCAAAACGTTAAATATTTCAATCCACTCTTTTATTTCTTGCATGGTTTCTGAAAAGAAGTCTGATTTAATTCTAATCTTTTTTTTCTTAATAGATCTTTATTGGGGTATAATTGCTTCACAATACTGTGTTAGTTTCTGTTGCACACCAAAGTGAATCAGCCATATGCATACATATGTCCCCATATCCCCTCCCTCTTGAGCCTCCCTCCCATCCTCCCGATCCCACCCCTCTAGATCATCGTAAAGCACCAAGCTGATCTCCCTGCACTATGCTGCTGCTTCCCACTAGCTACCTAATTTTACATTTGGTAGTGTACATATGTTGATGCCCCAGCTTTCCCTTCCCACCCTGTGTCCTCAAGTCCATTCTCTATGTCTATGTCTTTATTCCTGCCCTGCAACTAGGTTCATCAGTACCATTTTTTAGATTCCATATATATATGTGTTAGCATACGGTATTTGTTTTTCTCTTTCTGACTTACTTCACTCTGTATGACAGACTCTAGGTCCATCCACCTCACTACAAATAACTCAATTTTGTTTCTTTTTATGGCTGAGTAATATTCCATTATATATGTGTGCCACATCTTCTTCATTTTTGGGCCTCACCCTTAAGTTTCCTCACTGACAAAATGAAAATAATCTTTTTTTTTTTTAAGTAGACCAATCTATTAGCTAACTGTTGCAAGAAATTACAGCTACTGAAATAAAGAACCTGACAAAGTACCTGGCACATGATAGGCACTCAATAAACAGTAGCAATCACTGCAAGCTCTAACCCTTAACAATGTTAAAAATCTTACTTAAAATTTCTGCAGACAGGGCACATTTGTGGAATGAAACGTGCTATACCTGAGGAGTCCAAGACTCCATGAAGTCTCTCAATACTCTACAAGTAGATACATGCTCCAGACTTCAGAATCCTCTGAGAGGATTTCCCTGGTTCACCCACAAACAGAGCTGATTACCCACCCTGTCCTTGTCAATCACTGTCATGTCTTGTATTGAATTTAACATGTGCTCTTGCCTTTATCTTCCTACCTGTCCCCTTTTTTAAGCTAAGAGCTCTCTGAGCATAGAGTAGTGGCTTATTTTTGATACTGAGTTTAAAAAATAAATGTTTGTTTGTTAAATAAATACCCCAAAAGCCACAAACTCTAAAGATTGCTAAGCAGAGTCAGTTCCTGTAAGAAAGGATTCTAACATTTTCCTTTTAACCAAGTCAACTGCATGAGACCCAACTGTCTTGACAGCACTGAGGCAAATACTAAATGAAGTGAGAATTAATACGGTTCGCACCCTGTTGTGCCTTATTGAAATCACCAAGATTATAAAACACACTCCTGTAACCTGGTTCAATCCTGTTACTAATGTTCTGCTGGAGGCTTCCCTGTAACGTCTTTTTAGAGCAATTTCTTGGCACCCAGTTTGTTTAAGAACCTTAATTTGATTCAATGGCAAAGCATGAAGTTCTCATGTTAAGTTCTGTTTGTATCTTACAAATTCCTCAGTTAATGTGCTTGCCATTTTACTTTTTTCCAACACTATAAAAGCAGATTCTCGCAAACCATCCCTTCTCCCCACCCTTCAATAGAGACTATATAGCTACCGCCCTACTTGGGCAGAAAGACTACATAACCACACCAGCAAGGATGGGAACTGCCCAGTGCTCCCAAATGGAGACTAGTCTCTGTATTCAGTACTGGTAGGGATACGGGACACAACAAAAAGTATCTACTCTTTGGACTTCCCTGGTGGCGCAACGGTTAAGAATCCACCTGCCAATGCAGGGGACATGGGTTTGAGCCCTGGTCCGGGAAGATCCCACATGCCGTGGAGTAACTAAGCCCGAGCGCCACAACTACTGAGCCTGTGCTCTACAGGCCGCAAGCCACGACTACTGAGTCCGCATGCCACAACTACAGAAGCCCTTGTGCCTAGAGCCCATGCTCCGCAACAAGAGAAGCCACCGCAATGAGCAGCCTGAGCACCACAACGAAGAGTAGCCCCCGCTCGCCGCAACTAGAGAAAAGCCCGCACGCAGCAAAGAAGATCCAATGCAGCCATAAATAAATAAATAGGTAAATAAAAAGTATCTACTCTTTGACAGAAAGTTTCGTACAAATGGACAGAGCAGACTGCTATTAAATTCAGCCTCCTTGACACTCACCATTTCTAGTGAATACTCTCTTACTTTCCCTGTTCCCCAAGGAGATGACCTAAGAGCTCTGTTTCACATGTAAGTGTGAGACGCCTGGATCAGGGACGAGATACCTCTGCAAGTTAAATATTCACATGACTCCTGGGCGTCAGTGGTGGGATCAGTTTTTTCATTCATATGATCAAAGAAGCAAGATCCCTTCTCAATATGTTGAGGGATCAATTCCTTCTCAATACAAGGGCAGGAGAGGGATCTAGGAAGAGTGGTTGCTACAAGAGCCAGGAAGAAAAGCTTCAGGTAAAAAAGCTTCAAGTGTTTTTGGGTTTGGTTTTTTTTTTTGGGGGGGGTGCAGGGGAGGGGGTAGAGATCCTACACTGGATCATACCCAAGTCAGTTAAATAATTAATGTAACTATAGCCTTACCTGGAACCCTGGATCTCAAGAAATAGAGAAACTTCCCATTCTTGGAGTGCATGATGGCTCTCTTAATGAACTCCACCACTGATTGACAGCGATCCTCAAACTTGGGATGACACCACAGGCTGAAGGTTCCTGCCATGGAAAGTTAAGGAGAGGTAAAAATGCAAAACTTACTTCGAAAAGATTTGAGAGGCTGGCTTGAACATTTTAATGATTCTCACTTCTGGGAGGGTAGTTTTTAGTCAAGCTGAGTCAGACAAAGGTCCCTGTTCCTGCTTGTTCCACAACTAATGGAAAGATGTTGCCTTTAATAAGACATAAAGTAGGTCTTACAAGGTTTTTGTTAAACAATAATAAATTCAAGTCAGAAAAAGAGATATAAATAGATTTTGTTGGCTATGAACATGAATCTTTAAACCACAGACCATAAAGAAAAGACTGCTATAGCAAAAGCGAGTTTAAATGACATACCCTCAAAAATATCTAAGTCTTCAAGTATGCATGGAATAGTCCAGGAAAGACAAGAACAGCAGTTTTGTGGGTCTCACTCATTCATATGTGTGTTAGGCACAAAAATCAAATTCTAAGTCTTTTCTTCTGTAACTTCTAAAATCCCATGCTCCAACATGTTACAAAGATCCCACCCCAAACTTTAGAATCCCGAAGGCAAAAGGGAATCTGAACTCCCATGACTTAAAAAAAACAACAACAAAAAAACTCCAACAACTAAAGCACTAAATCCAAAGGAGTCACAAAAGGGATACTAATCACTCAAGAGAACTATAGATGTGAGTCTCCCTAATTACTCTCACAGGATCACTTAAAAAGACGAAGACAAATGTTCCACTGCAAGCTGGCAACTGAAAGGCCCACAGGCTTCTATTAAAAATTCCATTTATTCAAGGAAGAAAAGTCCCTTTGAACAAAAGGTAACTGGAGAACCATTTGAAAACGCCCTCCCATTCCTGGCATCTCACCTATCAGGAACCTAGAGGTCAAGCATTCATTCTTCATTTCCATGGCCTAGTCACATCATTTTAATAGGTTTATAAAAGCACTTCACTCTGAAATGCTTTTTCTTTGTTTGTTTGTTTGATTTTTGTTTTTAGAAACAGCAGGAAAACAGGCAGCAGTCTACCCCACAGTTCTCTAATTCTCAGGTCTTTGGACTGAAGTTCCTTTCTCTTCATGCATCTCGAAAGCAGAGGTGGAGGGGCTTCCCTGGTGGTGCAGTGGCTAAGAATCTGCCTGCCAATGCAGGAGACACGGGTTTGAGCCCTGGTCCGGGAAGATCCCACATGCCACAGAGCAACTAAGCCCGTGCACCATAACTACTGAGCCTGCGCTCTAGAGCCCACGAGCCACAACTACTGAGCTCGTGTGCCACAACTACTGAAGCCTGTGCACCTAGAGACTGTTTTCCGCAACAAGAGAAGCCACCACAATGAGAAGCCCATGCACCACAATGAAGAGTAGCCCCTGCTCGCTACAACAAGAGAAAAGCCCCGCGCGCGGCAATGAAGACCCAACGCAGGCAAAAATAAATAAATAAGAAAGCAGAGATGGGGGCAGAGGAAACCATGGACAAAGCTATGCTGACCTAAACAGGTACTTCCTGTCTAACAAGAGAAGCAAACCAAATAAATCCCGCAGAACATGGCTGAGAACAGGAGAGAGACAGTGGTGCCTGAGAAGAGCATGAAAGAGCCCCTTACTTGAAATGCAATATCTAATATAGCTCATTTGAAGTTGATCACATGTGGGAAGAGTATGAGGGATAGGGGGGCAAGTGCCTGAAACGCCCCAGAGTTCTCCACACTTTTTAAATTTGTAGCATATTACAAATTTTTGACAAAGGATGTATTAGCCAGCCCTACCACCAATGACCATCACAAGTTTGTGGCCCAAGTCAAATACAGAATGCCCATCCAGACTGCAGTGTTGAACAAGTCAGCTTCTCGACATCACTGGAATATTAAGCACAACCGGACCACAGAGGGGGAAGTACTGCCAGGAAGGAAGACAGACAGTCTAAAGCACGTTGATCCCACAAACTCTCATAGAGTTCTGATGACTATTTCCTATGAGACTACAAAGCTGACCAAAAGAAGACATAATTATCACCATGCTGCCTGGCAAGAAGAGCTGATGGGACTTCCAGGCAAAGAAATTCAGAACAGAACAGTCACAGGATCAACAAATTCTCCTCTTTGTATATATGATTTAATAGTAAATATCTCTAGATGGTAAGTTTAATTATAAACCAAAGTTTGGAAGAATGTGTCTAATGGTCCTAGGTTATTTCTTCCTTCTACCAAGAGTTTTACTGGCTTTTTTCTGTTCTTCTTCAGACTCTCCAATCTAGTAGACAAGATGCTGAGAATACTTTTAAACGGCACCCTTAGGCTCCTCCCAACCCCCACCAACATTTCTTCCAGTGATCAAAATCAGTGCCCATATCAATATTCAATTGAGTCTACGAGATTTTCCTCCCCATTCACAGTTCCATTTCTATGAATCCTTCCAATGAAAAAGTCAGATAGCAAAGGTAGGAAAAGGCAAAGGGGGAAGAAGCCTTCCTTCAAATGCCAGCACCTCTCACCTCTGTAGTGCTCCATTCTGGTGTGATGGGTGATACCCTGTGATCGGAAACTGAGGCTCAGGATATAACGAGGATCAGAGCTGTCTCGTACCAGGAAAGAACCATCGGGCTTGCCTTTCAGCTTCATCTCTGCATCTTCCCAATTCATCGGCCCCCAATACCAACCACACTATCAAAGAAGAAGTGGTCAAGTAGTTAACAGAACAGAGAAATGTCAAAGTTTTCAGCACAATTTCTCTTACCACAAGAACCCCGTTTCCAAAACACTGCAATAGGTAAAGGCTGCTAGGAGTGTCCCAACCATTAGCAATGAACACCAGGTTCATCACACTTTTAGGTCTCCAAAGTAACAGAAAAATAATTTTACAATTCCATTACCAAGGCCCTACAAAGAAGAGAAGAGCGACCTGGGTTAACTATGTAAACATTTCTCCATCACGTTCAGATTTTTTTTTTCAGATTCAATTTTACAACATCTCTTATAGAACTAATAATAGCAGCATATTGTTTTGTCACTGTAAATACAGAGGCAAGGAAACTACTCTTCCTCTAAAAATAATAAAAGGGGAGCTGGAACAGAATTAGGAGAACGCAAGAGGAGGCACCACTTACCTTCTCCAGCTCTCGAAGGCTGGCTGCAAAGCTGCTTGAGTCAGGCCGGTACAGGGGACACTGGAGGGGTGGCGGGGGTTGGCTGTGCAGGGATTCGGCTGCTCGGAGGGGAGTGATCCGGGGAAACGCATCTGCAGGGCAAGAGAGTGGCGGTCACTTGTCGACCCTCATTGTTCCCAACCTCAAGAAGACCGTCCCCCCAAAACAAAGAGGCTAACTGAAGAGGGGCAAGGCATTAGAAGATAAGCCGGAAAGGGTGGAAGCCAAAGCAGTGGGGAAGAGCTGGATGGGCTGGGTCAAAAAGCTGTGTGGGCTCGTGTAAGCTGTGAAGGATGGGTGGGGGCGTTTAACCCCAGGAAAGGGGTAAGGAGCAGCTCACTAACCTGACTAAGGTGACTACTTCAGGGCCTTCACCAGCCTAGAGCGATTCCAACTTCTCCCACCTCGAGGTGAAGTGCCAGTAAAGCAGCCTTGGAAATAGTGACTCGCTTACTTGCCCGGGAAGAGCAATGATTTTGCCAGGCAAGTAGATTTTGCCAGGTGAGTAGAAAATAATTCATTTCATTCATTTTATGCCTTGGGTACTGGAGGCTGGCAAAGCAGGTATGGGCTACTGAATGCTTGGGACTTATTTACAAGGCTGCAGTAAATGCTAAAAGCTTAGAAAACCACAGAACTTTGAAAACCAGCAACATATTAAACCTCCTCCCTCTACTAAAATTAAGGCAGTTTCCTAAATGATACTGACTCAAAGACTGCAAAACAGTTTCAGCAGCAAAGAGACAAAAATATCCAATAGTCTTTTATCTCTACCAAAAATCAGATTCACCTCCATAAAGAAAACGGGTTAGAAAAACCAGTTCTTGGCCTCATTTCCAAGGAGTTCTGGTCCAGCCAAGGGGATACAATTTAAGCTTTCTCATAAATTCTGTTATTTCCATAAATAAATTTCTCCCATCCTTCAGAAGTATATCACTTGGTACTCCCCACTCTTGCAAGTCCTGCGTCTAGGCTAAGCTAACCTGGGGCATGAGGTGGAGGAGGCGGAGGTAGGGGGAAAGACTGCAGGGAAGACCCCATCGGAGCCACAAGGACAGATGTAGGCAGCGTCCCACTGATATCATCTAGAAGAGAGAACAAAAGCAAGAGGTTCAGAAATATGGGCACAGAATGAGCAAGCTGAAGGCAGAGGAGAGGGAGAAGGATCATCAGGCTGCCCTCTGGGGCAAGATGGCCTGACCTTCACCCTGTCTTTTTGCACACAGGGCAACAATCATCTTAATCTGGTTTCCTTGGCTTGAAAGCAGGAAAGTAAGGATATCCCTAAAGCTGCCCACTAGCAGTAGATTCAGAGCAAGATAAATACCCTTTATAAATAAATAAAGATCGAATCCATATATGGACAGTAGATGTTATAGCATGCAGGTAAGAGACCCATTTAACCACTTCGGGAGAGGACAGGGGTGCTGAGAAAGGGACAAGAAATAATTGGGCCATCAATAGAAACCCAGGAGCTTGTTTGGCTCCTGGCAAGGAACAACAGGTCCATAGAGCTCACCCTCCCACTAGGGCAAGAAGACAGAGAGGGGAGGAAACTATACCTAGGAGGCTGAGGCTTCTTCTTGGAGGAGGAGGGGGAGTTGGAGGGTGTGGAGAGGTCAGGCCCCGCTGAGAGATGTCCACGTCCACAAGTGACACTGTTTCACCTGAGGGATTCATGGAGCAAGCATGTTACAGTAGCACCTTGCCCAAAGCCGAGGCCAGGAAGCAAAGGGAAACAGAGGGCAAGCAAGGGAGGCTAGAGAGGTCCATGGCTCTCAGAAAGCTCAAAATCTAATGCTCCTTGGCTGGAATCCCACACCCCGCCCAAAAAAACCACCTGAGAAGTCAATTTTAAGTTCCATCATTCCTTAACCCCGTTAAAGATCAAGGATCTTTAAGACAAAAACATGGGATTGACAGTTGAAAAGCCAACTAATCCTGGCTCTGCCACTGAGGATATAACCTTGAATAAGAGGTCTTCTTTATTCAAATAGAACCCACACCACTTATTTTTTACAGATTTGTATACCAATTTTTGCCTCGGAGAGCAAGGCAAGCAGCTTGTTACAAGCCCAAATGGACATGGAGAGCAAGTGCCATTAAAAGTAAGAGCTGTTAAGCTGAATGCAGATAGAGGCCCCAATGCTAGCTCTACCTTCTTCCTAAAGGGCTTTCCACATCTAGGTTTTCCAGGATACTCACTCATAAGAGAACCAACCATTTCAGATATCCATTAATTCCTAATAGTTGAGGCTGCAAAGGCCGAAAAGTGCATTTACAACCCTAATAATTTTTTTTTTTTTTTTTTGCGGTACGCGGGCCTCTCACTGTTGTGGCCTCTCCCGTTGCGGAGCACAGGCTGCGGATGCGCAGGCTCAGCGGCCATGGCTCACGGGCCCAGCCGCTCCGCGGCATGTGGGATCTTCCCAGACCGGGGCACGAACCCGTGTCCCCTGCATCGGCAGGCGGACTCTCAACCACTGCGCCACCAGGGAAGCCCTACAACCCTAATAATTAACTACTTCCTCAGTCAGCCAAATGTCAGGCACATGGTTTCCTTACTTCCCAGCATGTCACGCAGTTCTGTTCTCTGCCATATACACTCCTTCTTGCCACCCAACCCCGTCTAACCTCTCTCCACTTGAATCACCAGAGAACGAAGGGTATTTTATCGACAAAAGGTTGACAGCCAAGAATAAGTTTGTTTTGGTAGGCCTGATCCACAACTCAGAATTTGGGATTTCTGTAATTTGGCCCTTAGGGTGTTATTTCCAACACCTTCTTCTTATTTGGGAAGCTGAATTACCCCTCAGCTAGAATTTTAATGTTTCCCAGTTAAGAAAATGAGGTAACAAATATCTCTAAAAGGCCAGAAGCTGGGTTTTCAGAATCTAATATGGTTTTTTTTAACAAAGGTCTTGAACACTAATTAAGATAAGCAGAAAAGCTCTTCCAAAAGTCATCAGTGGAAGTTCTAGGAACTCATCACACAGCTTAATGACTGAGGGCCTAGCTGCCCAGAGCAATGCAATGAGCCCAGGTTTCCTGAAGGGTCAGAGAGGTCTAGATTGTATGCACTTAAAGGATGTAATTCAAGAGAGCTAAGGCTCTTTGAAATAAGAACGTGGAACCTGAAACTACAAATGTGGGTTTCATTACTTTAAAAGGGAAACAACTACTAACTAGAAAGACATTCTGCTACAGGATAAGATCCTTTAATTCGTTGCTTGGGATAAGAACAGAGGGGATATGAACAGAGGACCTCCTTCTCCACCTGTGCCTAGTGCAGGCACCAACTCACCTGTCCTGACAGCTCACAGCAGTCTACCCAGTGATGGGGGTTCCACTAGCTGGCTTAACATTTTCCTGGAAATGTCCAGTCCCAGATCAGAATTCTTGCAATCATCTTTTTTGAGGGACACAGTATCCAAAAGAGTTTGAAATTGGGATTTGGTTTAAAGGCTTCTCAGCCATGCCCAGTGAAGAGCACTCAGTTTCTGAGATTTGAGGCTGTGAGCTCCAGACTTCCTTTTCTACAGCTCATTCAAGCAGGAGCTTCACACCTGACTCACAAAACAAAAGGTCTCCCTCTCAGAAAAAGCCCCCCTTTAAAGGAGAAGGCAAAAGGACATTTGACCGCTTTCCTACTTTAGCAACTGTGTTCCCTGCTGCAAGAGGAGAGACTTAAATTAGATCCAGTGAAGAACCCTTTAACAGCTGCAAGAACTGCTAGCCCCTAAAATGGGTAAGACAAGAGTTCATGTGATCCCCTTTGCCCAAAGTCTTTAAAAATAGACCAGATCATCATGGATCATGTTTATTAGATAATCCATGAACTCCCTTGGAAGCAGGGACAGGAACTGTATGACTTTTGGGGAGTCCTTGATGCGTTATGAGCCTATAAATTTGTAATTTCTACTTTTAATTTATATGTGATGACCCTGAACTAAAGCCTGCATAACTGCCAGGGCCACATAATTACCAGCATGCAGTCTCTACCTCAAACTATAAAACATCCAAAGTCAAGAATACATTTCACACCATAAAAATAGCCTCACCCCAAACCCAGCAGGCACGAAATGAAGAAAATAACTGCAGACATGCTTGAAGCTCCCTCTGAGATGCATCTGCAAGCGTTTCCTGACTCGTCTCAGAACACTCGTGCTTTCAGATGTCAGAAGAAAAAGAAAGAGATCACCCTTACCTGTGAACAGGGGGCTGAAGGAGACTGGAGAAAAGGCACTTTGAGTTCTTGTCAACCTGGGTTTCCTGAGGGGTGAGAAGCACACAGAGAATGAGGTGCGGAATGAACACACATGCATTTAAATCACTGCAACAACAACAACAATAACAAAAAATCACTGCAACACTCAATTCCAGATGCACCAAAAAACAAAGCAAACCCTAGTCGTTGTCAGCCACACTTTTGTAATAAAGCCTAAAATTTAAAGGGGGAGAATAAAACAATTAAGGCAACTCCTAAATAGATTTGGCTACAGAATTCAGCAGCCTACAAAGCAATAAGAAATCTCTTTGGAGCTTTCCATACCCATCACATTAAAAGACTAAAACACCTTGAGTGGTAATTAGTAAGTCCATTTCTAGAAGAAGCAAGTCGGACACAGAGTTGATTTTCACATGGGAGCCAAGAAAAAGGTTCTTGACCTGAACAGGTGCCACCTCAGAGCACCAGCTTTCCCTCTGGGCCTGCTCCTAGGAGCAGGAAGTCCCAAAATGAATCAGGCAAGATTTTTGGACTTGAGGACAGCACTATAGGATACACATGCAATCTTCAACCAGTAAGAACTCTGATTTTTGCAAAATGCCTCCAAGCCATAGGTCAAAACCAAAGGGGAGCCTCTTCAAGTTAGGAGCTCTACCTGGCACCCAAAGAAGACGGCCTCTTCCCCTTTGAGAGCTGCCAGTCACAGCTCTCCCCCCAGGACTGCTCCTGATACTGCTCCCAAACCAGCTGGAAAACCCAGATCTCCTGTGAAGACACACCAATTTCAACTGGCTTTTGGGCGAGAAATGAAAGAAATCCAAAAGACTCTGACAAAGACTTTCTGGCTAGAAACGTGCTGAGCTCAAAAAACTCACCTCAGAATGACTGAATTGACTAAAAGGGAAAGAAGTTGAGGAGGTGATGAAAATATGCTATACCTTGATTATGGCAGAGGTTATGATGTTGACATCTGCCAAAATTAATAAAACTGAGCAACTTTAAAAAGGTGAATTTTAGGTGGTATATAAATGATATGTCAACAAATCAGGCTTAAAAAAAAAATTCTACCACCAAATTAAATGCCTGACTCCACACCTTGTAGCTGGCTCACTTTCCAAAATTACTCTCACCCAAAGGTTGAAATAAAACTTCAACTTCACCAATAGACAGGGGCAGAAGCAAAGAAAATCCAAAATGAAATCCTATTTTAAAATATTTGACTTTGGAAGATCTTTATTCATTTACGTTTTAACAGAGATGTCTGCTCTTCTCAGAACTCACTTCAAACAGAATTTCAAAACCATACTGTGAAGACCTTACTCAGAAACAGCCAAGATGCCGGAATCCCTCGCCTGACCTATCTCACACGCCCTCTGCAGCCGCCTCCACGATGAGGCTTGAGAAGTCTAATGATGGTGCCCACTGTCAACGCCCCGCCCACAGCACACACAGGAGAGGTGGCTACATCAGAACAAGACACAAGCACACACAGTCCCTCTATTTATAAAAGTTGCTCATGGCAGTCTGCAGCTTAGTTTCAACACTCCAGAGGGCTGGAATGGAAAGTTAATTCCACTGGACATTAACTTTAAGACTAAAGAGCTTTCAAGCTGATTTTTATTCAGTAACTTGTGGATACAACATTAAACTCAGCAAGCAGAAACCTAAAGCACTGGCCTTTCGAAGGGTTCACACCTCAGCCATTTGGCAGTTTGCCTCTTTTCAAAGGAAGCTGCGTTACTCTGCCATCTGCCCATACTGGGGACGAGCCTCCTCAGTGCCAAGCACTGAAGAACAGCAGTACCCAAACGCACACATCTTGCGGAGGCCTTCTCACTCCAGCTCATCTTCTCCCCGCCCCTGGCATTTTGAAGAAAATCATAGTTTCTAGGATCTAGAAAAAGAAATACATACGACTCTAAACCCAGGCAGAGCCATTTGAGAGCCCTAGGATGGCTTTTTCTGGCAAATAAGGAAGGTTAAAGAAGTAGAAGGTCTAAGAGGCTGAAAGGCTAATAATAGATATGAGTGCTTCCTTCTCTCTTTGGGGAGATATTGTCTAACTGAAAATCCAAAACAGTTTCTGTCTCAAGGATCCTGAGAGCATTCTAATGGCAGTCATTCATGAAAAGACCAATCTAGACAACTATAAAAAACAAAGCAAGGGAATGATGAACATAAAATTGAGGATGGTGGTTGGTTACATGGGGGAGGGCGAGATGTAATCAGGAAGTAACACACAGGGGTCTTCAAAGGTACTGATAACATCTATTTTTTAAGCTTAGTGATGGTTACCCAGGTACACATTTCATTATTATTACTGTACATACACTTTATACATCTCTTCTTATATATATGAAACATTTAAAATGATAACCATTCTAAGCTGGATGTGCTGTTTTTTGGAGAGCAACATGAATGACACAGCTCCAGATAACATTTTTAACTAACCCTTCTATACTACATTCCCATATTATTCTATTCCTCCCCAGACCACCTTGACAAGCATTAGGGTACAAAGTTAAAGCCACTGTAACTCTGCCAGTGGGCCACTTGCATCTTAGCAGCAGAAAAACCTGATGGGTGGTGTGGGGTAGGACTTGGTGGGCTATGCCTCAGATGGCAGAACAAGACAGGGGCAGCAGAAGACCTTAGGTAAAGGTCTTCTCTGAGGCAAGTAGTCCTTTGTGTCAGCTATGCACTGCTTGTGCTGCAGGTAACAGAGATAGGATGCCTCTGTCCATTTCCACTCTGCAAATTACTAACTGTATAGCAACAGATTTGTGGGATAAAAGGAGTTCATTAGACTAGACAGGCTGACAACACACTGATATAACCACTGGCCACTTTTCAAATTCCTTGAAGCCTAAAATATAAACAATGAAATAGTAATGCTTTCCCTCTCTTGTCCATAAATCCCCTCTATGGTGTCCTAAGACTTACACATGTCCTTTTCTAACTTCTAAAGTAGAATGTCCAAATATCAGGTTTTGCGGCCACAATTTACCTCTGCCCCTGCTAAGGCACACAGTGCCAAGTCAGCCAGCCTCTGCCATTTCCAACACATCGTAAGCCAGTGTCTGCTCTTGAGCTACAGGCACAAAAACCACATGTTCATTTTTAGTTCCAATACACAGACCTGTGCAACACGGTCAGATCTGAAACTCCACCATAAACCAACTAAAGAACCTATGGAGGGAACTTCCAGAGAAAAGCCCAGAGGTGTAGCCCAAGGTCTAAAACCTTAGGAATGATGTCAGTGGACAAAATGTTAAGAAGTAAAAGACACAAGACTCAAATGGACAGAGATTTCTGAAGCCAGGCTGCTCATTCCAAAAGAGAGCTTGTCAACCACAACCACTTCATGGAAAAATAGTTAAAAAGATCAACAGAATATGGACCCAAAACCGAAACATAAAGTCAGACCCTCCTTGGGACTTCCCTGGTGGCACAGTGGTTAAGAATCTGCCTGCCAATTCAGAGGACACGGGTTCGAGCCCTGGTCCTGGAAGATCCCACATGCTGCCAACTAAGCCCGTGCGCCACAACTGCTGAGCCTGCGTGCTGAGCTCTGAGAAGCCCGCACACCACAACAAAGAGTGCCCACTCTCCACACTAGAGAAAGCCTGCACGCAGCAACGAAGACCCAATGCAGCCAATAAATAAATAATTTTAAAAATAAAAACACTTGGAGTTTAAAAAAAAAAATCAGACCCTCCTCACCACACCATAAAATCATTTTGCTCTCAGCATGTCATGCTCTTTCTCAAAAAGACCCCTTAGACCTGAAGACCCAGGAAAACAGAGAAAAGGGTTTCTCATGTCTGCCAGGTCTGTCCACGACAGCAGGGCCCCAAATTGATGCCAAGGGAGCCTGCCTCTCTTTCCAGAATTGAATCTTTCTTCCCAGATAGGAAACCACTACAGAACTGTTCTCCATTTTTCCACCTCACAACTATGCAGACTGCCAGTAATATCCTCAACTGGTAAGTAAGAAAAAAACAAACCTTGAGAAATGAACAAGGTACCCATTTCCAACCAAGTATGTATTATGTGATGATTCAAAAAAGTAAGATCAAATGCTATTTCTCACCAAACACAAAGGAAGACAATCAGCTAAACATATGTGAAACAGACAAGGGAACTTCACTGGTTTTCCTGAAATAGCAATCGTATATAACACTGAAGCCCACGGGCATCAAGCCCAGCTCTCTGAATCCCAACATATGTGTGTTACACGGCCTAGCCCAGTTCTTCAGAACAGAAACCTGATTAGCTGGTGGGCCCATTTCTTCCTTCACTTCAAAAGAGTTACCTAAGCTAACTCATACTAGACCTAAGGCTCTGTATATCCAGGAAGGTCAACTTAGCAGACTCTAAAGCATCTGAAAGGAACTAAAGTTTGCTTAATGTTAAAATATGTAAACTGTTAAGCCTTATTAATGATTGTAGGGGGACTTCCCTGGAGGTCCAGTGGTTAAGACTCAGCGTTTTGGGCTTCCCTGGTGGCGCAGTGGTTAAGAATCCACCTGCCAATACAGGGGACATGGGCTCGAGCCCTGGTCTGGAAAGATCCCACATGCCGTGGAGCAACTAAGCCTGTGCGCCACAACTACTGAGCCTGTGATCTAGAGCCTGTGAGCCACAACTACTGAACCTGTTCACCACAACTACTGAAGCCCACACACCTAGAGCCCATGCTCCGCAACAAGAGAAGCCACCACAATGAGAAGCCCGTGCACCGCAACAAAGAGTAGCCCCCACTTGCCGCAACTAGAGAAAGCCCATGCGCAGCAATGAAGACCCAACACAGCCAAAAAAAGAAAAAAGAATCCTCCTGCCAATGCAGGGGACACGGGTTCGAGCCCTGGTCTGGGAAGATCCCACATGCCACAGAGCAACTAAGCCCATGTGCCACAACTACTGAGCCTGCGTTCTAGAGCCCGTGAGCCACAACTACTGAGCCTGCGTGCCACAACTACTGAAGCCCATGTGTCTATAGCCCGTGCTCCGCAACAAGAGAAGCCACCGCAATGAGAAGCCAGCACACCACAACGAAGAGCAGCCTCCGCTCGCTGCAACTAAAGAAAGCCTGCACGCAGCAACGAAGAGCCAGCGCAGCCATACATACATATGTACATACATAAATAAATAAAAAGACTCTGCGCTTCCGCCACAGTGGGCGCAGGTTCTATCCCTGGTGAGGGAACTAAGATCCCACATGCCGTGCGGCATGGCCAAAAAAATAAATTAATTAAATAAAATTAAAAAATGATTGTAGGAGGTACTTTCTAGTAATAGCTGTGGGGAAGTTAAATGCTGAGAAGAGCAAAGAGAATCATGCCCAGAGGTTACTGTAAAAGCCCCAAATTATACAGCAAAGACTGCAGAGACTCGTAATTAACTCCAACAATAAGAAGGCAGGCATATACCTTCTGGCAAAAGACTGACATTTCTCATGGCTTCCAGGTCCTACCAATCAAAACAAGAGCACAAGCTAAAAATCCAAACTTATCCTTCCTCCCAACAGGGCGGACTTACTAAGGAGGTGCAGATCCATAGAAATCACAACTACCCTGGCCAGACTTATCAAGCTTCTCACAGCTGCGAGGCTGCCAGCAAGACTGGCACATAGTAAGCTGTGGAGAAGCTAACAAGAAAATCTAACAGCACCAAATCCTAAGCACTAAAAAAAAAAAAATCACCAGTTCAATCTTACTGCTTCTCCTCCAAAAGCACAAAATATTCCATCTCAATTTCTCTTGTCTTCACTCTATTCCTATAAGGACAGGAACAAGACAGGAATCACTCCCATTTTACAGATTAAAAAACGGGGGGAAGTATGAAGAAGACAAAATTGGCCCACATCCCACAGCTGATGCTGGAGTCCTACATGGAATCTAAATGTTCACATTCTCTGTACAACATGCTGCCTCCTAACAGCAGTCAACCAAACGTTCATACATGAATACCTAGCTCTTCTCCAATTCATCAGAAAAAGCTCTTGGACCAAAAAATGTAATTCTCCAGTGCCCTGAACTAAGCTTCTTTGCAGAGCTACAGCCCAATTTGCTCTGCAGTAGAAATCTGTATTGTGCTTAGTGTGAGGGTTGGTCACAGAGCAGCCAATGACCATTAAATTCTGCTTCCAAATGCAAAAAACCGTATAATGTTATATGCCTTTTCCTCCTCCTAATCTATTAGACGTAGCAGCTAATTTCACGCCACACCTCCTATTTGGCGTCTCTGGAATCTTAGACCAAGTCCTGGTCAATATGGAACAAAGGCAAGACAAACCACAAGAAAACTAGCAATCTATCCTATGTCATTACCCACAGCTTCAATCCTGCCCTCCCCCCAGCTGATGAAAATTTCATCTACACTGGTTACATGGAGCATCGAATGCAGAGCCTACCACGAAATAGCTGCTTCAGCAGCCACACTTTTCCAGACCTGAGCTCCCAGCGTGAGTTCATTGGGAGGCAAATGTGGGAACATACATCTACCTGAAGGGGCAACACGCACCAACCTACTGATTTCCTCAGGAAGTCTGGGTTTGGTCTGATCCCCAAGATAAGTCCCCAGCCCAGCTGTTCAGAAAAGGCAACAAAGTCAAACTGACCAAGGGAATTCCCTGGCGGTCCAGGGGTTAGGACTCTGCGCTTCCACTGCAGGGGGCACAGGTTCCATCCCTGGTCAGGGAACTGAGATTCCCCCGTGTCACATGGCAAAAACAAAAAGAAACAAACAAAAAAAACCTGACCCCACACTTTCCTCTTAAAGTACAAGTTCCTTTGAAAGGATGAGTGGTTTCCAGTCCAGATCACACCTTAGGACCGACCAGGGAGCTTTTTAAAAATCCAGTCTTGGCCCTCTGATCATTTCCCAAAGCTCCCCACGTGACTCTGGTGAACAGTAGTTCTCAATGTTTTTCAGCCTTGGGTTGTGGCTGCCAGTGCATCTCATGGATCCATCACATGAGCTGCATCAAAACCAATTCCAATCTTTCTAAGAACCCACTCAACAGTGCAAACCACAATGGCAGTTACCACAAGGGAAGTCTTATTTCATTGACACAAAAGTTGACAGCTTTTCTAAACCGATGTACAAATCTAACACTGGATATCTGAGAGCCGTCCACCCTTCAGAAATGCAGGAAAAAAATGTCTAAGTTTGGAATTTTCATCAATTGGCCTAGAACTCATGTACTAATGTACATGAGTATACCTCGTACTTAGACTTCTCATGTGGGTTTGAGAGCAAGGCTATTTTCTATTCTCACAGTGGTCAGCATACAGGCTTGAGATACCAAGTATATCTAAGAAGCCAACCAAGAAAACATTAAAACTTTGAACAGAGATGCCCAACTGACTGGTGGCCTACAACTACACAAGTCTGTCACATCATCTGCACGCGTGAGTGTGAAGGGGGTGCTGGTACACAGAAAGAATAAGCAAGGTGGTCAAACACAACACCAACTTTTTGCCCCAAAGGCTACACCTTTCCATCAAGCCCCCTGCCAGGGGTAATGGTAGACAGACACCTTGGAAAAACTTTAAAAGCTGGGACAGGGTGGGCGTGGGGGGGGATGGTTTGGAATCATCGCCCAACTAGATAGAGAGATGCTAACCAGCTGATAAGTGTCACCGCGCGAGTGAATTCTTAGAGTGAAGGCTGCTCCCACAATCAGCTCTAACCTAATGGGCAATGTCACCACCTTTCACCCCAAGTCTCCGCCTCCTTATGAAGACCATACCTTAAGAATTGTCAGGATCGTGTTAGCAGTAGAATAAAAGGGAAATGAAACAAGAAAAGGAAGTCGGTCAGCCAGCCCCACCGCCCCCCAGCCGGTCTCACCTCCCCGCGTCCAGCTCCCGGCCCGCAAAGCCTCCCACGTCTGTCAGGCTCGCAGCTGAAGCACCCAGCTCTCCGGAAGGCCTCTTGCCGGCCCCATCCCCACCGCCGGAGCCACCGTTGCAGCTCTTCGTGCGGAAGAGGCGACTGAGGCGGACTTTGAGGGAGCTCTTCCGAGAAGGGCCCGCGAGCGGCCGGAGGGGCCCAGGAGGAGGCGGGGGTGGGGGAGGTTGCTGCTGCTCCCCTCTACTCAAGCGCCCTGGAGGGACCAAGTCCTGCACCAGGAAGGGCACCGGGGGTAATTCAGGGCCCGGGGGCTGCAGAAGAAGCCGGCCGCCCCCTCCTCCTCCGCGGCCCGGGCTGCTGAGCTCCTCTTCCGAGCAGCTGTTAGTCTCCAGGCTCTCGGCCTCCGACTCCAAGCCTTCCAGGACCAGCAGCGCGTCGCTCGTTTCCGTGGGGTCCTCCCCGGCCTGCGGGGCGGCAGCAGGCGGCTGGGGCTGCGGAGGGGGCGGCTGCGGGGGGCACGGGCACGGGCAGCAACCCCCGCCGACCGTCTTGACCCCGGGCCCCGCAGGCTGCCCGAGCCCCAGAGCCGCCAACTGCGCCTCTAGTCCAGCCGCCGGGCCCCAGGTCCGCTCGAGCGCCAACCCCGGCGGCAGGGCCTTGGGGTCCAGGGCACAGCGGTGCCGAGGACACAGCAGTTCCGAGGGTCCCGGCTCCCGGGCCGCCTCCGCGTCCTCCTCCTCCGGCGGCCGACCCACGTTGCGGAACACCATCAGCTGAGGCGGCCGGGAGCCCCGCGGGCCCGGCCGCGCGAGGAAGGGTGGCGGCGCGGGGCCATGGCCCGGAGGCGGCGGCGGCGGGCCTGGCTCGGGGGCCGCCTCTCCATAGCCGAGCAGGCGGCTCAGGACGCGGTACGAAGCGGCCGCCGCCGCCGCCTCACCATCCCGGAGCTCGGCCCCCTGCATCGGGGAGAGGGAGGGAGGGCGGGCGGCTGGGAGCCGGGCTGGGGTGGGGACTAGGCCGGGCCCCTCCGGAGCCCCGCCCGCCGCGGCCCCCGGAACGACAGTGCTAACGGCCGCTGCGGCCTCTGCCTCATAGAGGGGGCGGGGGGCGCGCGGAGCCCAGCGCGAGCCCACCCTGCGCGGCGCCGCCGAGCACCGCCCCCAATGCGTCACTTCCGGGTGATGGTGGCCGCGCCTTCTCTCCTGGTCGTGCTCGCGCCGGCCTCTCCGAAAAGTGACGTTACGCGGGGCCTGGGCCGCTATTGGCCGCGAGCTGCTTCTCGCCTAGCCCTTAGTCCGGTACCCCGACCCTGGTTTTTCACTTCCCGGGCCCTCTGGCCGAAGCCACCCTTCGGGATAAGGTGGGGTGGCCCTGGAAAGCTTGGTCTAGTCCTGGGAGAGAGCTGCTGGCCTTGGGAGGACGGTACCTTTGGCTCTGGTCCCGCCTATGCCGCTTGCGATGTGTGACAGTGGCCAAGTTGTTTGTTCATTGACTAACTGTATCCCCCCCTTGGCATCCAGTGAATATTTATGGAATGACACATGAATAACATGTTCTAGACCCAGTGCTGTGCTGATAAATGTTGAACAGCCGACTGTCGGGAGAAAAGGGGAATGTATGCACATATATAGGTACATAAGGATGTGTAGCACAGAATTTACAAATAATAGTGTACATTTGCAGATTCCTTATAACTAATTTATTCTAACAGAATGCTTTCACTGATTTTTGCCCAACTGCTGTATGGGTAGCCAACCCGTGGTTTCAGTTGACTGGGGAATGTAATCACAACATGGATGTTGGTTGATGTCCTCTGTGTCAATGTAAGAGGAAAATGAATAAACAAGACGTCTTACCTGTCAATTATGGGAGTGACTTCTTTGCTGAATAAGAAAACAGTTTTCAAATACTGAACGAATACTTCCTCAAGTTTTGTGCAATACAGAATGTAATGGCTACAAACATAACACATTCACTTAAAATCTGAATTATTTACATTTTCTCATCACTTTCTTAAATCTAGATTATCGACAAAACAATCAAGTCCCTATTTGTATCGTCTGCCGATTTCTCTGGTGTAAATCCTCCCACAAAGGCTGATATCAATCTACCATCTTGACTTTACTGAACACAGAGCATACTATTATGCAGTAGTTTCATACTATTATGTAGCAGATACAATAACACAAATAACCTCAAGAGCACAGGTAAATAATAATAGTAAAATTATTAGGAAGTGATGAGTTTTGAGAATGTATTACCTTTGTTTTTAATATATTTAATGTTTGTATAATTTTTAACAGTTGGCTGTGTTTAGCATCTGGCTTGTAGGGAATTCCCTGGCAGTCCAATAGTTAGGACTCTATGCTCTCCCTGCTGAAGGCCGGGGTTCAAGCCAAAAAAAACCCCCAAAAACCAACTGGCTTGCAAAATTTATTCCACGCCCCCTGCAGTGGGAGTGCAAAGTCTTAACCACTGGACCACCAGGGAAGTCCCAAAATTTCTGAAATTTTAACAGTTGGCTTTCACAAGCCTGTATGAGCCAGTTCCACAGTACCACTAGACCTCAGTTTTCTCATCTGCAAAATAGGGATAAGGATTGCTGCTTTGCTTACTTGCAGGAATGTTGTGAAGGTCAAGTAAGTTCAAGCTTGTGTAGAGGAGGTGTGACTGGAGGCAGGGAGACCAGTTAGGAAACCATTGCAATCTTCCCATGAAGAGATGTCGAGGAATGCAAAGGATAAGGAGGAAGGATCAGCCAGCAGAATTTAGCAACTTTAGTACCTGAAGGTGCATTTAGGGGAAGATGATCCAGGGTCTGCTATGAGTTCTACAGCCAGAGAGAACTTTTAAAAAAATATTTACTTATTTAGCTGCATCAGGTCTTAGTTGCAGCATGTGGGATCCTTAGCCACAAGCATGTGAACTCCTAGCTGCATCATATGGGATCCAGTTCCCCGAACAAGGATCGAACTCGGGCCCCCTGCATTGGGAGCATGGAGTCTTAGCCACTGGACCACCAGGGAAGTCCCCAGAGAGAACCTTTTAAAATGAATATTCACCAATAGCCTGTGATTATAACCCTTCATGGTTTCCCACTGTTCTTAGGCTAAAGACAAAACTCCTTAAGGAGGCCTATGGGGTCCTGTGTCATCAGACCCCCGCCTCTCTGGTCTCATCTCCCACCAGGTTCCACCTTGTTTTCTCTGCCCTCCTGTTCCACTAGCCCTGTGTCAGGCTCAAAAACATGGCCATTGCATAAGCGATTCCCTTTTCTTTAAAGGCTTTTTCCCTGCCTTTTTGCTTCATAAACTCCTACTCATCCTTCAAATTAAGCTTCTCTCTACCTCAGGGAAATCTCCCTGCCTGGGAACTTCCTCCTCACTGAGCTCCAAGACCACTCCTTTGTTGCACTTAATTGCACAGGTGTGATTTGTTCTCTATCTGCGAGGTTATTTGATTAAAGTCTGTCTTCCCTATTAAGCTGTTAGCTCTGTGAGGGCAGGGGCCTCGTCTGCTTTTTGCCCATCATGGACTCTCCAATGCCAAGGACTGCCTGGCACGGAGTAGGCCCTTGATACATAAGCATGGAACGATTGCTCCATCCTTGTAAGAAGCTCCTGATACAAATTCATCTCTAATTCTGCACAACAGAATTAATAACCTCCCTTGCCCATGAAAAAACTGAAGAGTTCCTTACCTAAGGTCATACAGTTCAAAAAGGTGAAGTGGAATTCAAAACAAGCTCTGACTCCAAAGATTATATTTTCTACCCTCTCTCCAATACCTTATAGGTGTTACTTAGGTTTCTGGAGAAAAGAAGAGAAATTGCTATAGGACCATAGCACACCGGAGGCCTAAGAAGACCACCCAAGATCCTGGCTGTCTCTGGAAAACTCTGGCTCCAGAACAGGTTACCCCCGCGAATGCAAGGTCTGTAAGCTCCACAGCGCCCTCTGCTGTCCAGATACTTTCCTGGCCCCAGAGGGAGGCAGACCATGTCTGCCGCCTGGGGTATCTCCACCTGCCCTGAGCACACAGAGGCACAAGGGAACACACACAGGCTCTTCCTAAGGCAGGGCAAGGAATGCTGCCTTTCTCCATTTCCTTAAATGTCCAGACCTGTAGTTCCTGGAAAAAATATTGAAAATTAAGCTCCAAGCAAAGGAAGTGTATCCTTGTATGAGCTGGATTTGTTGGGTAGGTTTTATGTCTACATATACCTGTTTCCTGAGGGCTATATAAGTGGTCCCTGCAGTGGTAGAACCCTAGTTTAAAAGGTTTGCAAAGAACAATTCAGAGAATCTAAACCAGTCTTGAGTTCACTCAATCGTTCAGCAATGGGCTAGGCTTCAATGATGAATGAGACAGGCATGGTCTCTGCCCCTCTAGAGCTTGCCATCTAGTTTTGAGTCCTAGTCATGCCATTTCCTGGACATATTACCAAGAGCAAATAATTAAACATCTTTGAACCTGTGTTTCATTTGTAAAAATAGGTCAATAATAATCCCCCCTTGATAGAGCTGTTGTAGGGATTAAATGAAAACTTACATGCAAATGCTACAGCACTATTCAAACATAAGTTATTATTATGAAAAGCTTCTTGGGGGAAAAAACAACTGACTATTATGTCTTCACCCAAGGTGTTCTGTTGGCCCTGGACTAACAGTAACCGGTAATAATACCAAGAACGTGGAACGGAGCACTTGCTCACCCCACCCCACCCCCTACCATCCCCCTTTCTGTCGGCACACAGGAATCAGAGAGGCAATGGATGTGTGGATGTGTGATAGAGGTCTGACCCCAGACCACTTGCTGGCTTTGTGGCCTTGAGGAGGTCACTTAGCTGACATTTGGTTTTAGTTTTCATTTCCTTCTCTATTAGAGAAAGGTCTGGGATATAGGCACTCTTAGTTCTGACATCATAGGGATTCTGTGGAGGTTTGTCCTCTAGCCCCCATCTCTTCCTCCACCCCTTACGTTCCCAGTGAAGGTTCCAAAGCAGAACTATTGCTTGCAGAGGCCACCAGTAAAGCAAGAGAAGTTTTTAGCCACCACCACCCAGCCCTCCCTACATAAACTCAGAGATCTGGGACATCAGAGGTTTTAGAAGCGGGGATGGGGGCAAAGTGAGAAGGAGAGAAACTAACAGATAGCACATGCACATGGGGCCAAATCACTGGGCCAGCGATCAGCGATGGGAAAGTGGTGGAAGAGGGAGGGAGAGGAAGGCAGGGGCTTTGTTCCGTGGCTGACTTCAAGAAGCCACACCCTTCTGGATCTGAGGAGGCTGCCTCAGACGGTGCTAACTCTGAGCTTTCCAGTTATTGTGTCCGACAGAGGGAAGGATGTGAGGGGTAAGAAGACCTGGAAGAGCAAGAGAGGTTAGCCATGGTTTTCATGAAGAAAGGAAGAAGACAGGGCTTAGAATGACAAAATGAAGGTGGAAGAAGCAGAAGCAAAACTGCTCATTCTCTTCACCCCTCCCCACCATGACCCCCTTACTCCGGGCAGTGGTTAACTCTGTGATGCAGAAGGCGGGCTTCCCTGGCTGGGGAGGTGGAGACCTGGTGGAGGCTCCTGCTCTGTCAAGAGCAACAGTGTGGTCCTAGGGAAGTCCCTTTACCTCTCCGGGCTATAGTTAGGTCTTCTTGAGGTCTCTAAGGATGAATAACAGGGTGATGGTGGGGGTTTGATGGGGCAGTGTAGGGGAATCAGAGCTCTGGGTTTGAGTCTCAACTCAAATGAAGCAGCTATGTGATCTTGGGTGAGTCTTTGAGCCTCACTGTCTGCATCTGTGAAATGGGGATAAGAATATTCAGCATAGGTGGGTTGGGGAAGAGTCACTGAGATAACGCACATGAAAAACACTTTGTAAACTGCCACAGTCTGTACAAATATCAATTATGGTTCTATTGGGCTTTCTTGGGACTTCCCTGGTGGTCCAATGGTTAAGACTCTGCACTCTCCATGCAGGGGTCCTGGGTTCAATCCCTGGTCAGGGAATTTGACCCCACGTGCCGCAACTAAGAGGCTGCATGCCGCAGCTAAGACCTGGCACAGCCAGATAAATAAATAAATATATATATATTTAAAAACCTATACTTATTGGGCTCTCTTGCCCACCCCTCGCCAACCCCAATCTCAAATTCCAGTTCAGCAGCATGGTGTTGGGGGTACAGGCAGCTAGAGCAGATTGCCAGGAGCTGCAGCTTGGCCCTTTATCATGGCCGTGGAAATTGCTGCTAGGAGGCTGAGTGGAGCAGAGGGGTGGAGAGAGGGGCACAGGCTCATCTGCGGTTGCTATGGCGTCCCATCCCGGATTTGCCCATCTCTCCTAATGGAGCAAAGGGCAGAGGGAGGGAGGGAGGAAGAGAGAGAACGGCTGGTCCCTTCTATCTCTCCCTGGAGCAGATGTAGGGTGGGGAGTGAGGGGAGGGAGCCTAGATATTGGATAAGAGGGGGAGGGAAGAGTGGTGTGCCAGGATTAAAAGGGTTTGCGATGGGGGGCCACACTGAGAGAGCAGGGAACAGAGCCCTCATGCCTACGTCCAGAAGCCAGCTGATGACGTTAAAGAGAAGAAAAAAACAAGTAAGACAGCCTGAGCATGAGAGAGAGGAAGAGGGGAAGAGAGAAAGCAAGGATCGGAGGCGTGCAAGCAGGCAGCCCCAGACTGCGGCCAGCCTCTGCCTGGGATCTCCTGAACCTCCAATACCCCGGGCAGCCTGGACGCCAGGGTCCCTGAGAGCTGCCCCAAGGATGGGCACCAGGGCAGTGGTCATGCCTCCTCCTGTGTGGGG